GAAGGAAAAACTTAACTACATCTTCAAATCTGGAAGCTGGATAGCTTCTTGACTGTTTTCTTTGGTAAAAGAATATAAAGGGGGATTCTGTATTTTGCAAAGAAGTACTGTCTGAAATGTTGAGTGCTAGCTTTTGTACCATACTGTACTGGTCAATGAATGGCTGGATCACTTTGATAGATGCAAACAACAAACTGCAGTTTTCCCCAAACTTACAAAACTGTTTTGTATGACTAAAGGGTGAGAAAATGGAACTTTGTTTCCTATAGCCCTCAACCATGTTTCTTTGGTTTCAGCATACTGACAGTGCTACTGGGCAAGGGTCAAGCAGTTTAAGTGTCTGTTCAGCACTCACTCCAACACAATTTACAGATTACTTTCATTTATCTGCTTGTATTTGTTTTAAAATATCAATGCTGTGTAATTATGATTGATGTTTTTTTTGTTTGTTTTTGTACTCTCAAATGGTAATAAATGCAAAGTTACAAAAAGAAAAATCAAAAACCAACCCTCACTACAGAGGGGAAAGACTCATTTTTAAGCCCACAGGGGTCATGTGAAGTAGTTGGATATACCAAACTTTACTAGCCATGCAATTTGCTACAGCCTTTCTGAATTAAATTCTTGTACCTTTTAATAAAGTGAGCATAAGTTCAATCTTCACACAATAACAGAAAATGCATTTTTTCTGGCTATGATGGTGTAGTAAGGAAATGCTGTGAACAGCAGAAGAGGCAGATTTTTATATATCTGAACGAAGATTTCTTAGCTCAAACATATCTTGGAAAATTTCTAATAATCAGACTGAAGAGCTCCCTGCTCTTAAAAAGCATATTCCCATGAAGATATTTGATAGGTTAAGTCTCTCTTTAATTCTTTTTTATTTAAATTAAATTAGATTAAAGTTATGACTGCAAGTCATGACGACCCAATTTAATATCGTTCCTCTTTCCCCAACTTTTTTTCAGTTCCACATTCTCATCCTATTCTAACATTTATTGAACATCTTCTTCAGTTCAGAAGAGAAAGTAGAACGTGGCAGCAAGACATAATAATTACAGGGAAAGCATGGTTACTGTCTAATCTGTTACTTACTGTCTAACCTAAACTCCTTTAAACATCAGCCTCTTTGTAAGCCCGACTCTTACATCCTCAGCCATTCTGTCCTTCCTTTGTAAGTGCTTTTCCTTTTCTTTCCTAGTAATGAGCTAATAACCCATCAGCAAATACTGCATTAGTAAGCTACTACTTCCCTGGAAGTTTAAATGTTCCATAGTTACAATTAAAATTCCAGTTATATCCTACCCACCTCCTCAGCTTCCTCTCTGATCTCATTTCACCTCCACAACTCAGAACAGGCTCACAGGACTCATACCTGTCAAAGGTACCATCAAAATGCTGATAATATCCTAAAAGAGAAAAACAAAAATAACAGTGTTTAGTATATGAACTATTCCATCTAAGATTTCAGTGTGCCTGATTCATAGGAAAGATTAAATATTTAATGAAGAACTGTGCCATGTGGTTTTCCTGTAATACTTTTAAACAATTATTATTCTGAAACAACTCTGAGGTCCATGTTTCCAGAGCACTCAGCCCTCCTCACTTTTCTGATCCAGAACACAAGTACCTTCCTCTGGGATCTTGAATGGTGCTGAGTACTTTGCTGGCAGCTGATAAAGAAACATTTGCTGTGATGGAAGTATCAGCAAAGGAGATGAAGTGATTTGGTCCAGCCCCAAGTTTCATAACTCATGCACTCTCAGCAGCCCAGGCTACCCCACCAGCACTGAGGCAAACAGCACTAAATCATAACTAACTCCTAGTTGCCTGATGCCAAACAATGCCACACTGTAATGCTACATCCACCTCCTAAAGGGAGGTGACTTCAGTCAGCTTAAGGGCACACTGTCTACCTTTCATCTCTCTTCTTTTTGTCCTGCCCTCACTGAGATGTGCACACTGTCACAGCTACAAAAGAACAGTTTATTCCTCTTTTGTGTCTGGAAAACTCTTTTCTCTCCCTTTAGAGTGAAGAAAGCAAAGCTGTCACAAATGTTGGTCCACCCAGAAGAATGCAGATCTTAGCACAAGTTGCTTGGCTATAGTGGGATGAAGAGGAACAAGTTCTCCAACTACGTGCTGGACAGCATCCTGGGCATAGTCTGCCCAGTTTGAGGAGAAAGTCTTCCAGAGTGAGCATAAGTTCTTCCAGACTTTCTCCTTCTGTTCCTCTCTTTACAAGCAGTGACATTATACCTTATTATACACAAATGATAGCCCTGTGTGAAAATGCAGTTACAAACAGCTTAAGGAATAGAAACAGTCCTGTTAGCTTTGGGATAAATTACTGCAATCTGAGCAGAGGTGGGAAGGATTCTCAGCCACCCTTTATCCTTCTGATAAGCAGATGCAACTTGTTAGAATCATAGAATCATAGAATCACAAGGTTGGAAATGACCTATAAGATCATCTAGTCCAACCGTCTTCACATTACCACTGCTACCACAAGCACTAACCTGTATCTCGCAGCTCCTCATCCAGTCGCCTCTTGAACACTGCCAGGGATGGCGACTCCACCACCTCCCTTGGCAGGCCATCCCAGTGCCTGACCACTCTCTGAGAGAAAAAGTTTTTCCTCATGTCCAACCTAAACCTCCTCTGGTACAACTTGCAGCCATTTCCCCAGGTCCTGTTCGTTGCCTGGGAGAAGAGGCCAAACCTCTCTTCACCACAACCTCCCTTCAGGAAGCTGTAGAGTGCAATGAGATCTCCCCTGAGCCTCCTCTTCTCCAGACTAAACAATCCCAGCTCTCTCAGCCGCTCCTCAAAGGACTTGTGCTCCAGACCCCTCACCAGTTTCATTGCCCTTCTCTGGACACGTTCCAGGGCCTCAATGTCTTTCCTGTAGTGAGGAGCCCAAAACTGAACACAGTACTCAAGGTATGGCCTCACCAGTGCTGAGTACAGGGGGATGATCACCTCCCAGCTCCTGCTGGCCACATTATTTCTAATGCAGGCCAGGATGCCATTGGCCCTCTTGGCCACCTGGGCACACTGTCAGCTCATGTTCAGCTGAGAATCAACCAACACCCCTAAGCCCCTTTCCTCTTCACAATCATCCAGCCACTTGTCCCCAGGCCTATAACGCTGCATGGCGTTGTTGTGGCCAAAGCACATGACCCGGCACTTGGCCATGTTGAACCTCATCCCATTCACCTCAGCCCAGCAATCCAGTTTATCTAAATCCCTCTGAAGGGCCTCCCTACCCTCAGGCAGATCCACACCACCTCCCAGCTTGGTGTCATCTGCAAACTTACTGAGGGTACACTCAATCCCCTCGTCTAGGTCATCAATAAAGATATTAAACAGGATGAGCCCCAGCACCGACCTCTGGGGGACACCACTTGAAACAGGTCACCAGTTAACTCCATTAACCACTACCCGTTGGGCATGGCCCTCCAGCCAGTTTCTCACCCAAAGGAGTGTATACCTGTCCAGGCCACATGCAGCCAGTTTCCCCAGAAGAAGCCTGCGAGAGGCAGTGTCAAAGGCTTTGCTGAAGTCCAGGTAGACTACATCAACAGCCTTTCCCTCATCTACCAGTCTGGTCACCCAGTCATAGACGGAGATGAGGTTGATCAAGCACGACCTGCCTTTCATGAACCCGTGCTGGCTGTGCCTGATCCCCTGGACACCACGCACATGCCGTGCAATCTCACCCAAGATGATTTGCTCCATTACTTTCCCCAGTACTGAGGTCAGGCCAACAGGCCTATAGTTCCCCAAATCCTCCTTACGGCCCTTCTTGAAGATGGGAGTCACATCAGCAAGCCTCCAATCCTCTGGGACCTCTCCAGTTAACCAGGAGCGCTGATAGATGGCCGAGAGCAGCTCAGCAATCACCCCTGCCAGCTCCCTCAGCACCCGAGGGCATAGGCCATCTGGTCCCATGGACTTGTGACAGTCCAGATGGAGGAGAAGCTCTCTGACTGTCTCCACCTGAATTGCTTGTTCTTGCACTGGCTTGGTTTAGGACACATCCCAGCATCGTTTGGAACATCTTGTTTATGAGAGCTGCCCACAAGCAGCCTCAGAACAGGCTGACCTGACCACTGAGTTGGAGCAGGAAGGTTTTCACATCTCCAAAAGCCATACGGCAGCACTCTTGCCCAAGGACAGCCTGATGGCCTGCAGGGTCAGTGAGCAGCAGGGCTGGCCTCAGCACAGAGCTCTTCCTTGCAGCAGCAGTCACTCAAGTCTCCATCGCTGGTCCCGAGCCAGTCTGAGCAGCTGCCAGGCTGTCACACCGCGGCGACGCAAAGCCAGGCAGAGATTTCAGACCCGCGCTCCTCGAGCGAATGAGGAAGTTTAACACGTCCTTCAAGAAGCGGCCAACCTCACAACTAAAAACAAGGCGTGCTCAGCCCGTCCCAAACACTTGGCATCCCGGCCGTGGGGATGCTCCGACACCAACGCGATCCCCGACACCGAAGAAGGGCAGCAGAAGGGCCGTGCCTCAGAGGACAGGCAGGTGACCGAGCAGCTCACCGCCCTGCGAGCTCGGACGGAGGGCCAAAGGCGGCCCTCAGCGACCAGGGCCCGAGCTGCCTCGGGCGGGCACAGCTCCCAGCCCCGCTCCGGGCTCCCGAGCCCTCAGGCTGCGCGGGAGAGCACGCGGAGACGCAGCCTTGGGGAGGGCGAACCGAGCGGCCAGCCCGCCCTACGGCTCCCGAACGGCGGCCCGGCCGGAGGGGGCTCCTCGGTTCGGACCGAACCGTTCACTCTGGGGAAGTTGGCGGGAACGGGGAGCGGGGCTTACCGCCTTACCTCCGCCTCTCCAGGTGCCTGCCACGCAGCGCTCCACAGCGGAGGCGGGACGCGACGCCTCAGCGCGGCTACGTGCGGCTTCCCCGCTGCCGCCGGCTCCGCCGAGCCGCTTACCCCGCGCCCTGCCCGGCTCGACTCCCGCCGCGCGGCCCCACACGCTCGGCTGGGCGCCCGCCGGAGCCCGCCCTCTGTCGGGCGCGGGGCGGCCGCGCGGGTGCCGAAATGGCGGCGCTGCCCTCCCGCCTTCGGCGCCGTCCCACCCGGGCTGCTCCGCGTCCCGTCTCCGATCCCGCTCGGGGCGGAGCGAAACTTCGTGACGGGCTTACCTCAGCTCGGGCCGCGAGCGGAGCGGTGGGGTGGGTGATGAGGTGGGGTGGTCTGAGGCCCCGAAGCCTTCCCGCGGGGCTCCTGGTAACGCCGAAGCCGTTGGTTTGCGCTGCGGGGTGCTGTGGGTTTAACCGCAGCGGCGTGGGCTGCAGACCGCAGTCTCCTCCCTTGAGGCAGCAGGATAAGATAAATCGCGGTACTCCTCCAGCCCGTTTGGTTTATCTGATCCCTGGGGTTTGTGGGGCCGGCTGACCCTCTGCTAAACCCACCTTAGCAGCCGCAGCGGTGATTGTCTCCGCTGGGAAGCAGCAGCTCTGCAGCTGGGCACAGCCTGCTGTGTGGTGGCAGAGGATGGAGGGTCTCTCATCATCGCACCTGGCCCGGGCTGCCCCGTGCAGAAAGAGGAGATGGGGAAAGGAGCTGCACCCTGCGTGCCGCTGTCAGTGCTGTGCCTCAATGTCACACCATCGAGTTTGTGGTGGTGACAAACCAGAGCCCAAAAAGAGCAAGCAACAAGCAGAGTTTTTCTCCTGAACCTCAGCCCATGACACTCTTGTTCATTTCTAATCGTCACAAAATGCTGGAGGTATCAATGGGCTCCAGCCAGAGCAATAGTAAAGGGGCTGAAGATGCCAGCTGCTCTCTCCCAGCAGTCCAATTCTCTACTGGAACACCACCCCACAGACATCTCATCAGTGCTCTTCTGCTGCTGGGAGAGAAGGCAGCGGCCACCCAGCATCAGTCAGTTTGCTCCAACAGAGTCTAAGCAGCTGTCAATTTGGTCATAAATGCCATGTTGCTCTAAGCACATACACCAAAGATGCTGAAGCCAGAGGCCCTTCCTCTTCCTACCATGCCAAATGAACAGCTCATGTAATAAATGAGCAGGTTTTCAGATTAATTATTCTCAGTATGAACAAACAGAAATGCAATTTAATTCAGCATCAAATGGTTGAGGTCTGCTGTTTATCCTCCACTGCTAGGAAACGGGAACAGAGAACACAGATGAAGCAGATCACAGTGCCGTAGTAATAATTCCTTTCAAAGTTAATTTCTGCCTTGTTTTTCCACTATTCTCTTCTTTAAAGGACATGCACTTGGAGGAAATAGCCCTTAGTCTGCAAAGAAAGAAGAGAGAACATTGGGCTGAGGAGCTCCTCTTCTCACACCAAAATGACTCGAGGTCACACCAGATGCTTGCCCAGTATCAGTTGGATGGGAGATGTCTGGTAGGTCTCATGCAAACTATGTGTTTTCCTCTGCAGAAAGATATCTCCAGCAGGTGACTACCTTGCGGGTGAGGTCCAAAAACAGCCGAAGTGTTCCTACAAAGCATGATTGGGTGCAGACATAGCTTTCTTCAACACAGTACCTTCTAGTAAATGAAAGAAGCAGGAAGGTTTCTATGGGAATATATCAATATTCAGAAAATGAAAATCATGAACATGGAACAGAGGGACATGTTTAGTTACCTATTAGCAACAATAAAACTTATTTTCATCTAATGGTACTACTTTACTGTAGCTAGCATTGTATTGAGTGAAAAGACATTTTTATTACACTTTCAGCCTGGACACAGTGTACATTTTCATGTTGGTTTTGGTTTTTTTTTTCCCCATTACTCACAGCTGTTGTAGGCACACGCAAACAGCTCAACATCCTGAGGCAGCCTGCAGAGTTGCAGCCTCACAGCCCTACTTTGGGCTCACACAGAGCTGAAAGGCTCTATCACCACCGACAGGTAGCAGTTTGCAAAAGGCATAGAAGCTTGCACAGGGCCTTGCTTTGTTAGAGTAACTGGAGATTAGCTTAGGCAAGGAGGGTAGGTCAATGCCCTCTTGTTCTTCCCAGCAGAAAATTCTTGTTTCACTTACTAACTGTTTAAAATAGTGAGAACAGTCTCTGATGGGATTGTTCTGTTCAGTGTTGGGTGTGCCTGTGCTTAGATGCTCTTAAATAACCAGGATCTTCCAAGTGGAGCTTACAGGAGTCTTCCACTGCCTTTCTTTGTATGGACTTTTGGTGCCTGATATGACTAAATCTGTACTAATACCTTGGACTTCCAAGTTTGTGCATATCATTCTCTCTACTCTAATGTATATTTGCACAGAAGCTGATGAAACAACTTTGGTTTTGAGATTTGTATTCCTTAACCAATCTCATAAAACAACCTAGCAAAATAGAATTTGACTTGGGAACAAAGAGAAGAGTGGAAATGTGGATGTAATCAAAACTGATAAGAAAACTGTTTAACTGGGAAAACAGTATACAATTAAATCTTGCTTAATCTCCCTTCCTCTGTCAAGCCATAGTTTTAAAGTCAACAATAAACCATGGCTTTGATCTAAACAGATAGGTCATTTTTATTCCTTTCTAAATCAAAATTATTTAGTTCTTGGTCAAGGCTCAGAACCAACTTAAATCGAGGTGAACAAGCTATCACTAGGTGCTGACTGGCAGAATCAGCCAGAACTGCTTAAGAAGTTACTGTCCACAGCAGCTGGATGCCTCCATTTGGTGCTATTTAACAACTCAAAGCTGACTCCATTCCACTGAAAAATATAAATCTTTTCATTTAGGTCAACCACCATCAACGTCAGTTCAGTCAGGCTGATTTTGGACTGAAGTGGGTTACAGCAGGCTCTTATGCCAGGTGCTGTAGGCATGTGAAGCTTCAAAACAGTGTAATGAAAGGAACATCTTAGAACTGCAACTTCAACAATTCAGTCTGCTTTTGAAGTATGTGCTTGCATTTACCAACACCCAATTCTGCATATTTTTGGACTGCCCTTATTACTAATCATAAATCACAAAGCTTTTCTGCGAACAGAACTATGCCATCCTACTGAGCATATGGCCAGTAATGTACAACTTAGCTGTTATCAGATATATTGTGTTTGGATGCTGTCTTATAAGTTAAACTAAAAAAAAAAAAAAAGCATATTTTAAGCCTTTTTTTTCCCCCCATCCCAGTTTTTAAAATGGCATTCAGTATACCAAAGATGCCTTGTGGAATGGCAAAGGCAGGGGCAGACATTACAGCAAAGTACCTTTTAAAAACATGCCTACCATTCACCAGTTTTGGCTCACTGTTCAGAAGTGTGTATGCAGCAGAATTTCTTGACAAAGGAAGAGAACACATTGTAACTTTGGTATCTATAGAGCATTTCTGTACAGTTGCCTTTAAAAGAGCTTTCCTTCCAGAATGACTTTTCTCCTCTACCCCATCTATTAAAAGTTGGTATTGCAGAAAAATTGAAAACAAAGAATCAATGTGGCAAGGAATCAATCAATGAAATTCTGAATAGGTTACAGCGCCACAATTCATGCAAGATTAAATAAACTTTGTACATAATTTTGTCTCCCTGTCCTCATTTACTTCACCATTTGTTGGCAGCCTGTAAGATCATTCAAGTCCACATCCACCGCAACAGAATTGTGATTGCAACAGCTCTTCATTTTTCACAGCACAAATGTCCCACACATGGTGCCCAGTACTAAATTATGAGTTAGCCCCAAATTAATAGACAATAAAGGCCATCTGCCATAAAGAAAAATTCACCACAGTTACGCTCTTCCATAGGATATTATAATTTTTAGGATATATAGGATATATAGGAGAGGATATATAGTATATATAATATTTCATATTGCCTTTTAAATCCTGTGCATGGCATGAGTGTAGCGTGGTTGCTTCTCCAACAGTTACCTGAGTGAATACAGTGAGGGCTCACACAGGTGTACTGGGATGGGAGAAAGGAATGCCAGAGAAATTCATGCATCTCTGTGGAGAAGTAATTATTCCAAAAGGTTTTTGATCCTACTTTCTAAATATGGGCTATTAAATTACCTTGAACAAACCTCCACTCCCACTTATGTGGGACAAACAGTTTATCTTTCCCACCATACACATTTGCACATTTGATTATAAATTTCCTATGTAAAAACTGAATGTAGTGTTTCTATTTTTATTTCTTTTTTAATATGGAAGTCTGTCTAATAGGCTTCCAGATGCTGTAAGTGTTTTTAATAGGAAATCTAAATAATTTACTCAAAAATCTCTGCACTCAGATGTTGCTGTTGTTTTTTTTTTTTTTTTTTTTTAATATGGTGAATATACATTGAAACTATAGGCATTAATCAGAAATACCACAAGAGTGTATCTCCCTCTTACTTTTAGGAATTGATCCACTAGGCCTGATTTCCACTTACACTAAAGCATCACAGCCTAGAAATCTCCCACTGTTATGTTCTGGTAAAGAATGTGGTTTGGATGGGGGAATTTCAAAGTGACCTCATGTCAGGAGTGCAGACACAGAATCAACTTTTCCCCACATTGGCTCACTTGATATTTACACGTGTAATTTAGAATCATAGAATCATAGAATGGCCTGGGTTGAAAAGGACCACAATGATCATCTAGGACATCCAGCAGTTTGGAGCTGCTCCAGCACGTGTGCTGTGGTGGCAAGCAGCAGCAGTGACTATAGAGATGCAAAGGCAGTTTTGACACTCTCAAAGGTGGCTCACAGAGCATCTACAGCCAGCTCCAGTGCAATGTCTCCTGCCTGCTGTCAGAGCTCCTGGTTCGCACATCAGGTCAGAGGGATGACACAAACAGGGGCAATGAGAGAACTCTGAGAAAAGCAACTGGATGGCTGCACAGCAGCTTCACTGGGGCAGGAAATCCTTTTTGATGTTGATTGCAGGTGGTGATGATCCTGTCAAAAGAACATTTTCTGTTTCAGTGACTCAGAAAAACAGCTATTCCTCCCACTGACTCTCCAGATAATTTTTGTTACCTGTACAGCAGTTTGTTTCCAGGAGCTGAAAGGCAACCTCAGGAACATTTGGTGCACTCCCCATGGTACCACATTTTGGTGCATACAAGACACTGCTTGCTTGCCACTTCTCCAGGCCTGTTGCTGGCAGCAGGCAACAGAGCAGAGCTCTGAGTGTTTCTGCCACTTTGGTGTTATCTAAGCAGTGTGAGTGATTCTAAAATTAAGCAAGAAACGCAGTACCTTGAGGGAAAAGGCAACATGTGACCAAATTATTTGCCTTGCCTCTGCATTAGGAAAGCTTTTATACAACTATCAGAGCAAAATGCAATCTTCATGCTAGTAACTCCTTCCAGATTTTATCTTGAATTACATGGAAACAAATTTTTCCCAATCTTTGCAGCTAACCAAGAAAATCTTTCACTGCTTGCAATGGAGAGGTTATAAACTCATGCAGAGTTGATCAGGAGTGGAACTCAGTGCCCTTTGTCCTTTTAAGATTATTGTTTGCTGTTCCTGCCCAGGGAAAAGTAAACAGCAAAATCCAATTACCGTATCCTCTGACTCAAACACTGCTCAAGCCTCCCCTCAGGACAATGCTTGCATTCAAGCTGTTCTCTGAGCTTAGCTCTGTTCTTAAAATTGCAATGTCTCTGTAAGATTGATTTGCCAGAAATGTGTGGATGAAAAAGCGCTGTAATCTCACTGCATTTTGACAAAACAGAAGTCCTCTCCTTTTATTTTTTTTAAATCCTTGCTGCCTCTCCCTTTCCTCTCTATGACAGGATACACAGTTTTATCGTAGGAGTAAACTGTCAAGCTTGTACCAGAAGCTGATGGAGGACACAGAAGTTGGCTTTCAGATGACAAGGCTTCTCAGGTAATGTGACCACCTAAATGGTTAAGATTGCTTGATGGTAAACAGCAGAAATTGTTCAGCATTTCCCTGGAACAAGTGGCAAAATTTTATCTCCTCCTGGGATTGCTGTAACACTAACATAACTTGAAAGGAACTCTGGCAGATCCATGAAGTACATACTGGTTCAGTTTCCTGCTCCATTAAGAACTATTTGATTGAAGATTTTGGTTTTAACCACTCAAGTCAAGTTACAAACAATGTCATGTCCAAAAGCAGCTTTCAGCAGTGATCCCTGGGAAGCCAATCCCTCTTGCAGCCTTTGCTGGCAGCACTGTGTGAGAAGATATAATGCACAACAGCCTTTTTGGAAGAGGAGGAAAGGAGACCCCTGGATAACATCTGCCAAGCTGATGTTTCTACCTAGGCACAGGCTACCCACCAGCATTTGCTACAATAGGAAATGGTAAAAAGAAGTGGCCTTCTCGGGATATAGAGGGGAAAGACAGAGCTATAGTGATATGGAAAGCCAATAAGAGGAACACTGATCATCAGTGGAATCCAGCCTGGCTCAGTCCTGGTGTACAAGTACCGCTTAAAGTACACTCCCAAGTGAAAGCAGCCTAAGTGGCTGCTAGTACGTCTTTCTCTTAGTCTCGTATGTTTCCCCTGCTCTTAGATGTTTCTCTCCACTCCTACCCAGAACTACAGTGATCCTTCCTCCACCTTAAAGCTAACCATCAAAGGACCATGTGCAATATCCTGCAATTTGCCCTGTATGCCTCAGTTTCCATTAATACCAGTGTTTAATAGAGGTTATCCCCTTTTCCAAATCCACCATGAACTGTTTCATGCAAAACCCAGTAACTCCATCCTGTATAATCCTGGTATGTCATTATGGGGCAAATACCTTAGAAAAGAAGGAAATAAATGGAAATTGTGCAGATTTTCAGTATTCTGAATATTTTAACCACATTTTGAATGAATGCTATCAATGAACCAATGCTTATCATGCTTTGTATCCAAACACAGGTCAACAGCTTGCATCTATGAAATGCAGAAAAGTTTGTGGTATCTCTTGGATGTATAACAATGCATCAATACAGTTTGGTTATGAACATGCATTTTAAAAGATTCACATACACACAATAAATATTACTGCTTGGCATTTAATCTCATCTGTTGAGTGTTGACACAGGACCTTAGCACTATTCAGAAAGATGTATAGGCAAGGAGAAAAGATGTCCATTATTGTTATTTCAGTTTCAATCTGGCCTATTCCCTGTCTGGCTCTGATCTCTTCTTCTGTTTAATGACACCACTTGAATGCCAAATCTAATTTGGAACCTAGCAGCCTACTTATTAAGTGGGACTTTATGACAGGAGAGCATTATGGTGCTGTTCAGGCAGCTGCACTGGCTGCCAGAGAGCCTATGGGGAAAATGCAAAGCTTTCAAGGCTCTAATTGTTTTGGATCTAGGTTATTTTGTCAGGAAAAGAGATACTCCAATTTAAGAAGCCTTTATATAAATGAGAGGTAGGAGACAAGGGCACTTGGCTATTCAGGTCTGTTTCTCCTGAGATTAAACTCCCAGATGTGCTATTAAGGCCTATTTTCCAGACGGAGAACTGGGAGAGAGATGGTTATAGAAGCTCCATGCAGCATACAATTAGCTTATGTGCTGAGTGCAGTAGTATTAGCTGGTAAAATAGTTAGAGGATGAAATTCTGTTATTTTGAATGGTACTATGAATTAAGAAGACTATTTCATCTTTGGAAAGACACTTTTGGCATGTACATCTTGTAAAATGCACCTAAATGCAATATACTTTTGAAAATTGTTCTCTGAGGGCTCAAGAAAACCAGAACACTAAGTAGTTTACATTACAATTCAGAACGCTATGGCAAGACTGATCACAGAGCTGAGAGTCTTTCTTCTTCTTCCTCTACTTTTTTTTTTTTTTTTAATAAACCAAACAAAGGGGCAACAAAAAAGCAGTGCTCCCTTTTAAGAAAAAAAATGAAGTTAACAGACCTTTAATTAATTCTTTTATCTAAAGGTAGCACAATTGCCTGCCTTCCACACAAGACTGTAGGGGCTGAAGCATGGGCCAAATGCCAGGTTAGTGAGAGACCCTCACTGGAATGCTGAGCAGCAAGAAGAGCAGGCCAGTGCCCCAAAGAAGGACTCAGACCATGGATAGGCGGTGCTCCCTCACTGCACATGTGGGAAAAGCACTGGAATCTCACAAATTTTGTAGCTCTTCCCACCACAGCTGTTAAGGACAGACTAGGGACCATTACCATCTTCAAAAGGGTACAAGATGGTCCCTCGGCAGTTAAAGGAAACCAGCAAATGCAGATCCAAAGTACAGTTATGCCATGGGTCTTACATATTCCAAAGTGACTGTCTCTTTAGGCAACATCAAGGACTCACCTGATAATACAAGCAGCACTCTTTGTCTGAATTCTCATCTTAAAGCGCATGACTTCCTTTTTTTAATTAAGTTGCTAACTTAATAACAGTCCTGTCTCTTAGAGCACCAATTTAATGCCTGCAGATAAAATATGATGCAGTAATTATTAAAGAGCAGGTAGCAGCACATCCCATCATCACCCTGAGTGAAGTGTGGGCCAATCCATCACAACTTAAGATGTTGTGTTCCAGCTGATGCAAGGGAGTAGCAGATGGGCATGGTGAGTGCATTTCCAAATGCGGAGCTAGTCTGCAGTGGTGCAATTTATCCAGGACATACAATTAGTTCAGGAAAAGCAGAGAGGTTTGAATAAATGAAATGAATTTCATCTAAGAGGGCTCTGTCTGCATGCAGAAATCTTGTTGGTATAACTCTAGCAAAATTGTACAGTCCTGTGTGTGAAGTCCTGTCCAGATACTTTCATTTGGTCTCAGGGTGACTAAATTACCAATGTCATCCATACTCAGCCAAAGAACCTTTTATATAAGCTTAACCATTGCAACATATTCCTGTACCTGTCACTATCACAGCTTTATTCTCTAGCAAGTTGACATAGGACCGCTGTTTCTTCTGACCAAGTTCCACTTTGTTTTTCAGATTCATGCATCCCCTAAGCCTTCCTGAATCTGCTGAGACCACAGAGAAATGCATTCAGTGAATTCAGCAAGGTCCTCACTGCATCATGAAGACACAAACCTGAGGTGAGTCAGCACTCAGAACACAACAAAACATTCTTAACAGGTACCTATAAAGTAAAGAGACAGAAGAGATATCTGAAATGCCCCCAAAGCGATATCTGTTCATCTGACACAAATGAGGATCCAGTCTGTGAAATCCCAACTCAACCATCCATGGAGGTGAAGGAATCAAAACAAGAGCTGAATCCACATGTGAAAATATTGCAATTCATTCATTTTACTTCAGTTTTCTTGGTATATTTTCCAGGTATGTGTGTATGTGTTTCTGATATTATATCTATTACAGAACTTTCATGAATTACTTGATTCTATCAGGACTGCTGTAGCCCAGCTAGATGTTGTATCTTGATGGGGTCCAAGAGTACAGTAAATGATATGCAGCAGCATGCAAGGACTCAGAGTGCCTGAGATTAAAGAACAAAGAAATTTCAGCTTATCATTTTATCTTTTCAGCAGGTAAGGCTGCCACATCTACAGGCCGTAATCCTCCTTGTCTGAAGCCAAATAACATAGAGAATCAAAATGCCTTTGCGAGCTTTGAAATGAAACAGTAAGAAATCTAGAGAAGATAATTTCATTACAATTTTTATAGCTGGGCACATCCAGTATAGTCAATGAAGGAGATAGACAGTAATCTCAACCATAATTGCTTTTGAAAAGATTTGTTTATCTGTTTTTCTTAGTTGCATATCTAGGCAACAGAATCTCTCAAAAAATCAGAATTCTGCTGCATTTCTTACCCTTCCCCCCCCAGCAATTGCTTCACACATACTGTTATGTTGTCTTACAGTTCTCATCTTGGTGCCCTAAAGCATACTAGCTAAATGACAGATCTCCAGAAAGGTAAGAGCCCTGTTACTTTTTGCTTTACTTCCCCTCCCTCCTGAAAACCACTGTAGCCAAAACTGGAGCTGGGAAACTGGGTATCAGAAACACATGCTTTGCATTGGTGAGAGTGAAGAAGGGCTGTGTGAGTTGTGTGGCACTGCACCCAGCCAGACTCTGTGCTTGGTGGAGAGGCTTGATTGCAAGGGCTGCAAATCTAGGACAAGGACAAGAGGGCACTGTCTCCTCCTGAGGCTGGTCTGTTAACCCTAGCAGATGAATGAAGATCAGTGTCACATAAATATTGCAGGGCTTCTTTGTTTGTTTTGGGTGTTGAGGTGATCAGTGCTGTTGTTGGTTGACTATTAAAGTTATATCTGAACTAGGAGAAGTTATTAAACAGTCCCAAGAAAAGTTAACAGCAATTGAAATATCTCCTTCAGAGAATTTACTAAAGCAACACAACAGAATTTGAATAATGCCTCCCTCAGGTTGTCTCTAGTTGGCTTCAAGAGGCCAAGTTCACTTAACACTAACCAACAAAGAATTAATCTCATCAGTTTTATCTCTGCAGCCACCTGCATGTAGAGTTATTTGTACTCATCACAGCAAACTCTTAAGAAAAGTAAGGCTAACGACACAGTGTATCAGAGGAGCCTGAAGCCCATGACACCCAGATTGCTGGAACTGACTTTTCAGATATGCTCATTACACCAGACAGGAACACCAGGATGCTGACATGCTATAGGGAAAGCCCCCTCAGCTTGTGGTAGAGAGCATTTAGGTCTCTTGTGACTCAGAGATGGTGGAAACACATAGATCTTGTCACTGATTCTCTTCTCTCCCCTTACCTACAGCTTCCCCCCATTCCCAAGCCAAGCAGATTTCAAATGCTGGAAGTATCCGGGTTCTGAAGCCTGTGTCCTGAAGGTAGTGAAGAAAGACAGTCTACAGTCAACTTTATAGACGTGGTCTCAAACAGTGCGAAAAACAGATAGGTCTTGCTTCTACTGGGGAAAAAATAGCAGTGCTGTTTATAACAATGGCTTTATTTTTCTCCATTGGAGAGATTTGAAATGCAGAATACTCAGCATTCCACAATTTTTGCCCACAAGCAAGTATGAGATGGCTCCAAGATGCTTTGCTTCCTTGTAATGCAGAAGCCAAATTTCTGAAAAACTGGAGATGCTGCAGCACACACACCCTTGGAGAGGAACCACGTAAAGCCAAGTGGAAGTGGAATTAAATCAGGCTGCGCTGGAAACTGATGGGAACCTATAGCAATGAACAGAATGTCTGTTTCAAATAAATAGTTAAAACTTAAAAATACTAAGTTTTTCCAGGAGATCATCCCATAGCCAATACTAGAAAGTGTTTTTCAGTCTCTGATGTGTCTTTACAGGCATTTGGATACACTACAATCATTTTTAAAATTCTTCTCATTATAAAGCATGTGCACAAATATTTGCTGAGGCATGTTTCTGCTGCTTTTTTGATGCATCAGTTTTCTACTGTAAGTAAAAACGTAGCCTGCATTCTATGATTAGCTTGATTAGCTGTCAGCGGGGAGAGGGAAGGGAAGGAGCTGCACAAGTGCATTTCAGCCAACTTCTACCACTAAGGACCTAAGAACAGTAATCCAAAACAGATGTAGGGAAAAAATGAAGGACACATAAATATGGTCATTTTAATGCCTGTTTGATTTCCCACATTCGTAAGTGCTTTACTGATGAAAATTCCAGTGTGTTCATGAGGCAAAGATCTGTGTTCATATTCATTTCTGCCCCATTCCTTGCTACCTTTGAATGTAAATGTCTGTTCCTTTCTCTTCTCTGGGAGCTTTGTGGAGGGCCTGTCCTTTCCTTTCACACCATTTCTTTTCCCATTTTCTCCTTCCTATTAATCTTCTTCTTTTCGTTTCTTCTGTGCATTCGTGCACATTGCTTGTGCTCAGCTGCTTGGTCAGGGGTGCATTGCAGCAGTGTTTCAGCCCACACTTGGAGTGCCCCCCTAACATTGTTCCCTGATTTTCCATCTCTCCTCACTGTCATTTGCTTCACCTAAAGAACAGCATAAAATTGACTGAATCACCCTAAGCTGAATAGAAAGATGCAGTCCAACTGCTAATGAGCAGTCAGTGTTTGGGGTATAATCAAGTTTATCCGAAGTGTAAATGGTTGAAGCACACACAGTGTGGTCTTCACCACATTTTGCTCTGTGAAGCCAACCCAGAGCATTTCACCAAGCACTCACAGGACATAGCAAACACCAGGTGTGCCCATACTCTAAGGCTACTCTGTGCCCTATGTACGCATCCACTGGCTCATACTCTTGCTTTGTCAGTGCACTGTTCTTTCCTGCTTCTTCCTCAAAATATCCCCTCAGCAGAGAGAGCAGCTCATCCACAGTCTCCCCTTGCTTGCAGCTGCCTGCTGAGGACAGGAGGTGTCTGTGAGCTGCCAGGAAGGGGATGGCACGGGGACCCCAGCATCCCTGGCCCTTTCACAGCCTGAATAATTGTTCCTTCACGGCACAGCAGAGAAACACTGGTTTGTGCTTCAGCAAAGCACAGCTCCACTGTTTTGGTCTGAAAGAAGAAATGTTTTCAGTCTCTGCAGTCAGGCTCTTTGCATTTCAGACAAACAGACTCATGAAGATTACTTAATTCTTCTTCACTCGAACTGTTGCTAAGCCCTGAGAAGGCTCCCTACCCACAGGAGGACCTCTCAGCCCCCTCTGGTCTTTGTCTCTGTGGTATCTCATGCTCCTAAGACTCAGTCACATTCTACATCCTACTTCACTCCTGTCTTTGCCAGGAGCAAATGCTGGTGCAGGAGGCTCAGATATCACCACTGTCTCCTGTAGGGACAGGGACTGACTGCCCCAGTTGCTGTCCAAAATGAACAATGAGCTCTGCTTCAAAACTGTTGCTGTCAAGTTTCTATGATTTTAGCCCGTGGCTTCGGCAGCACACTGGTAGCTCTTGGCAGCCAGAGGCAAGCCTCAGCATTGCTGCAGCACACAAATATTATCTTCTGGAAAAGAGCCATTTTTCTGGCCTCTATCCCAATGCACTTGTTTTGTAATATGTGTCATGACTAAGCATCAGAATTAGCAAAACAGTGGGAACAAAAACCAAAAGTTTCGAGCCAAATGAAAGGCACTTCTGGTATTCAGTTTTTGAATTTGCACTTTCAAATAAAATCACCAGTGGAGAGGGCAGAATAAAATCGAAGTGTGGGAGCTTGTAATGCAGACTCCACCAACACAGCCATCCGTTCCGAGCTCTGCGTGGTTTTTTATGTGCACACATCCTAAATTACAAAACCCAAGAACAAAACCTAACAAAAAGATGTATTTTGACACTGACGTTTAAAGTGAGTCATGTAGAGTCATCCATCTTTTTCCTCATTAAGCACATTAATAAGCTGACATTTCTTAGAGATTAACTAAACAGATGATGATGCCATTACATCCAGGAGACCGAACAAGCATTTCTATTCACACATGGCAGGGTGGGAAGTTTGTTCAAAGATGGACAAAGAAATATGCAGAAATATGAACAGATGGGAATGAAAACAGGGTGATTTGTTTGAAAACAGTCACTCAGAAACATAATGGTGTTGAATGGGCATTGTTTTCTCCTTTAATGCATTATCAGAAAGATGATAAGAATATGTTATTATATTCTTGTCATCTTAGTAGTAGCTTAAATTCTATCTGTATGTTTCATATCTATGTGAAAACTTTACCTGAAGTGCAGATAGGTACAATTACAACTCCGTGTTGCACTCTCCCATGGGCAGTGACTATCATAAACATCATTCAGAAACATATCTGCCCTTTTGTCAGCAAGAGAGAAGGTGAGGGTTGTGAAAGGCTCTGAGATTCAGCTCACCTTTCACAGAGCCACCATGGTGCAATACGGGCTGTAAAGCTCCTTGTGCTAAGAGGCTTTGGTTGATGTCAGCCTTCAGGTCTGTGTCTCCATCAGGGCTTGGGGAGAGGAAACAGATTTGCACCTCCCTACTAATAGGAGTGTTATCCAGCTGTGATTATGTAGTTATGTATTTCACTGGACTTTAAACTTGTAATCCACAGCTTTGTAGTGGCACCTGTAACATAATTGCAAGCTGGTACATCTGATTGCAAAGATCACTGATAATTTTGCTGTTCTACTGATTTCTTTCTAGTGTGATCATTAATTAATAAACTTCTTAATCAACTTGCATCAAGCTTGCATCAGTTTGCATCTTGAGTCTCCAGCCTGCTGGGAAAGTGTCGAACCTTGGCAGTAACTGTGTGAACAGCAGACTGAACCCAACATTTTCTTCAGCTTGCCAGTGTCCAATTGCCTGCCAAAACACAGCATGAAGTTAATCACTCATTACTTATTGCCCAGGTCCTTGATAATCTGCACAGCTGCCCTTGGCTAGTAAAGAAATCTGAAGGCCAGAGTGTCCTTACTCCAGAATCCAGGTTATCAGAAATTATTTCCAAATACTGCTGTCACAGCAGACCTCAATGTAATGTGGGATTAACCTCTGGCAAATAGGCAGCTGGAAAACAGACACAAGTCTCAGTAAGGACAAACTCTCCCATACATCCCCCTACAAATGAATGAGGAAGGTTCATTGCACTAGTGGCACTACTGAACATTTGGCAGAAACAAATGAATTGCTGTTTGCAGTACCAAATTTCAGTATTCCCTGACCTGTAATTTCTTATGTTTCTGCTTCTACTAAAAATCAAGTTTGGCAAACGTTAATCGTGTTTAATTGAAGATGGAAAAGACTACTCTTACTATGATGAGACAATTTTCTAAATGGAAGAGAAACTGGCACTGAATTTCAAATAAGGGAGCTTTTGGCTGTTGAATGGTCTCAAACATTTTAGCTTATTATTGGATACTTGTGATCAAGCTTCAGACATTTACCTTTAACATACCAAGGCATCAAGCTTTACTTTGAAACTTAGTCAAAAATCTTTCATGACTTTATCTCACTGTCTGCAGCTTACATTTATCTGCCCTTGCTTACATGTTTACATCTTTCTTCTTTTGCTGCAGATAGCTGTTTCTACACGAAGTACAGATTACCTCACAAGTTTCAAGTAAGAGGCATAATGTCATTAACTGTAACATGTGTTAGACCCAAAGGATACTGTGCTTCTGATACCTCTTCCTCCTTTGGTTCATAAATATTTGAGTTCCAGCAGTTCCATTGGTGAATCCAGGGCCACCTTCAAGATTTTACACATCCATGTTCCCAGAGTAGTTTGTTTAGCCCCATATTTACCAGCAATGTTGGAGATACTCAAAACTGGTGTGCTATGAACAGCTTTGATGGAAGTTTTTCTGGTTTGAGCAGAGGGCTGAAACTACCAGCCTCCAGTGGCTGCCCATATTAGTCATTCCAGTTGACTGTTGACCTTCTGTAGGACCATAGCACCACACAAAAATTTGGAGCAGCAGAGACATCAAGAAGCCTCCAATCCAGCCCATTCATGTTCACAGCAGGTTCAAAGGTGGGTCAGGGCTTTATCCTGTAAGGGCTGGAAACCTACAAGGAGGGAGATGACACCACCTCCCACGGACCCTATTCTCCAGATGGTGAAAGCTTACCCTTTACTGCAGCCTCTATCCCTGCTCAGCTCGCTGCACAAGGCCCCAGAGCTGCTGCAGCCCCTGTGTTGCTGCTGGAGCTCTGCTTGCTCAGGACTGCACAATGCTGCTGTTCAGTGGCACGGGGATCCCTGTGCTTTCCTCCCACCAGCCCAGGTCACTCTGGTCTCCTCCATTTTGTAGTCACCTCAAACTTGACAAGGTGCAGTAAATCATCTCTCTGGGCAAAGCATAGGGATGTTGGAAAGGATAGGCCCCTGGTGTTCCATAGGATCAGACAGCTGCTCTAGTAGGACACATACCATGATATTTCCAGACACCTGAGCAAAACTGAGCAACCTACAACTGACCCAGAAAAAACTGTCGCTTTTCCTACTGTCAGAGACCTTCCTTTATCTCCTCTACAAAGTATGTGAACACCTAGAAGGTGGGAACAGTTGTTGCCATTTCATGCTGAATTTCCTTACCAAAAAAAAAAAAAAAAAAAAAAAGGTAGAAATTTCTCTTTCTACTGACCCTTTATAAGTCTGCAAGCAACAGGAATTAGGATCAGAGAAAAATGAGACAGTAAAAATTCTCTAAAGCTCTATTTCCCTGGAAATCCAACTGGAACCAGAAAGTTGCTGTAGGGTGTAAGGAATCAGAACATTGGCAAAAGATATTCATTGATTTAATCATTGATACAAGTGAACTAAAAACACATATAAATGTTAAGATATGGGATTAAAACTTTTCAAAAGCTGAGGCTAAATTTTTACTTATGGACAACAGAGGCCCATTAGGTCACTCTGGTGGAAATTAATGACTCCTTAACAGAAACAGCAAAACTAAATTTGGAGACTTTTAGAAGCTTGTCATTTTAAAAGTAGTACAGTCAGACACCAAGTTAGCAACATACGATTGACTGTCAGTGAGAGCCTGTATCTCACCATCTCAGAATTCAAGTATTTTTATTTTAACAAGAAAAAGGTTTCATCTTTATTTCAAATGATAAATAATCATGATCCCATCAGATACATCCTATTAAGAAAAAAAAAACACAGCAGAAATTAAAATAAAAAAAAATTGGCATAAATTTTATTAGAATAGTATTTTTCCTGAGCAAGATTTACAACACAGCATGCAGATGCATTTAATAACTTACTTCACTATACATTCTGCACTAGTGACAGTTGTGCAATAAAGGTAGCAACTGATATATTTCCAGCTTTTAGTCATTTCAAAGTGGCAGCATATTCCATAATCAGAGTTCTACTGTTAGTAGTGTAGGTGTGAAGTTTCCAATGCCTATGAAGCTGAAGTGATTAGATTCAGCATAACACTTGAAGCTCTTTAGTCTTCAAACACAACTTCTGTATTAGAATTTTGAGAAGAGTTCATGACATTATTTTTCACAACCTTAGGCAACACAGAAAAAACTTATCATAATGGATAAACTTTTATAACGGATAAACTAGCTGAAAATGCAAAGGGAAATTATAGTGTTAGTAAGGCAAACAGAATATCAATACAAATAACTGAAGTCATCATATTTCTGGTAAGTTCTCTGGGGGAAACACTGAGCTTGTATTGCAGGACTCCAACATACATGTACAGCACAAAAAGGGCCATGTACTTGCTATGTAACCAAGGTAACATAGCACAGCTGATTTTTATTCACAGAAAATGGCACCTGGCTGTGGCTGAATTCTTTTCAAAGCTTTAAGTGTTTAGTTGTAAATTTTTCTTTTTCAAGAAACAAAAAGGAACTCTGGGCATATAAAAACAAACAAACAAGCAAAAAGACAGCTTTCCTGTCCAGAAATAAATACTGGATATTTCAGGACAAATTGAAAGTCTGAGTTACTAACTAACTCATTGCATAAAACAGATGCTGGACACCTATCGTGAAAACAGAAACATATTTCTATTACAGTGAAGGAATGTTACAAACAATTGTAAGCAATAAGGCAACAGCACCTTCTCAAATCACACATGTAGCTCCTTTACAATGAAGACAGAGCTAAACGGTTACACTAAAACATGAAACAAATACATTTCTGCTTTGTCCAGAAACAAATATATCACCACACAGCGCAGATTAATCTCTGTTCTCAATATAACACACCAAACTTGCCCAAATTGTAAAAGAATAGGTCTGGTTAATTTGACACTGCAACTTTCATGGTTACTGGAGCTCTATACTTTTTTATTTTCAAGCAAAGTAAAGTTGAATATTTGCTGACTATGAACTAGTAAGACTGGCAAGATTACTGGCTTGAATTCACTTAGTAAAATGCTAATCATGCAAGCTCAAAGCTGTTCTGATCTCTTTATCAGGATTAATATATATATTAATCGCAGTGTAAAAAGAATTACTTCTATCTTCCAGCGTGGCTATCATCCTGTTGTTCTTAGGGAAATTAGGGAAAGGCCTAATACTTTAATCTGAACCTTATTCTAACTGCCAACAGACTAAGCAGCCGCAGCAGTTTAGACACAAAGACTGACAACCGTTGTTGAATGACACAAAGTTTTCTGCTCTGTGCTTTGAAAGAGCTCAATTATGCTGGATCACTGAACACTCAACCACAGGATGGCTCAACAGCCTGTGACAGAATAGCCTAGTTGGCATTTACATGCAGAAAGCTGCTTAAATAATGACCCAATTCCAACGTGCAGGGTGCTACTATTTATGCTGCTAGTAGCCAACACATTGCTCGCAGGAACAGCACTGTAGAGTACATTAAAAAAAAAAAACCCAAACAACGAACCAAAAAACCCAAACAACTAAAAGAAGAAAACCAAGTTCCTGACCTTTAAAAGTCCTAATGAAGGAGTAAGTCGTGATTTAAATGGAGATAATGGAAGGCATATTTCAGAATTGTATCATATACAAAAAAGAATTTTAAAAAACTCTTCAAATCTCCTGAACCAACCCGATTATGGAGCACATATCTGTCGTTTTTTTATGGAAACACTAAAAATACTGGCTCTGTACTGAACAGGGAAAAACTGACACACCTGAAAGAAATTTGTGGGGAAAGAAAATGACAACGCCTTCCTTTATCCAAAACATGTTCAAATTTACCTAGTGAGCCCATACAGCAAAGGAACTTCTGATCATGTTTACTTTTACTACTGAAAAAGCACACAAAAAAAAAATGGATTCATTTAAATCACGCTCACCTAACTATGTTGATATTCCCCTTAACAAGACCGCTTCAGACAGACTGCACAGTTACTCTGTTTCTACTGACCCATTGTAAATCAGGTCAACGATTGTCATAAGCCTGGTGTTCACACTGATAGATTGCTCTCAGTGCCATGCAATATTACACATTAACAGTGGAGAATTTTAAAACGTCATTAGCATATCACGCTCTTGCACACTGATGTAGAACGGCCTCCCAAAGATGAAGGAATGTAGACCAGGTTTAATCTTCTCAGCCAAAGCCATTATTATGTTAAGATCGCCCTCTGCTGTTAGGTCGAGATCTATCTTTAAGCTACGAAGAGATTTAAAAGGTTTTTTTCCTTTCTGCCTGCAAGAAAATAAAAAGAAGCTTTGTACAAAAGAACATAGTAAATTTCTCAAAGCCTGCTTTCTATTAT